GTGTTTTTTTTTTTTTTTTTTTTTTTTTTTTTTTTTTTGTATTTTTAAGAATGAAAAGGAAAGGGAGAGCATTTCTGTGTGCAAGTGCACACCCAGGATCTGATTCTTCTTAAGAACTCCTGAACAGACTTTATCTCTTCTGACGTAAGAACCTTATCACAAAATTTAGGAGGAAGAAGCAAAGGTTAGGTCTTATCTGTAGTAAGCTCACAGTACACTCTGCCTTCTCTTGGGCTCCATTGGGAAACAGCATCCTGGCGTAAGGCTTTTTACATCAGTCACTTCAGAACAGGCTAAAGGTAACTTTACCTAACTCCAGTGTAACAGGCCAATTGCAAAGTCACTCATTTGTGGATTGTATGTCCTTGTCTAAGGAAAGAACTTGCCAGAAGGCAAATCTGGTCAAACTTACCTTACAGGAGTGGTTTATAGTCTGCTCTAACTGAACCCAATTGCTTATTCTAAATTTGCTGCTATTATGAATTGTAATGTAAACATCTGTGTTTTCAGAGGGTCTTAAGTAACCCCTATGAAAGGTCGTTAGATCTCCAGAGGGTAATGACCCACAGGGTGAGAACTGATGTGTTATGTAGTTCTCTCTCTCTCTCTCTCTCTCTCTCTCTCTCTCTCTCTCTCTCTCTCTCCTTCCTCTTCTCCTCCCTGCCATTCTTTGCATTGGGTATTCTTTCCAGAGGCAGCAAGTGGCCTGAAACTTACACACTCTTTGTCTGAGCTATTTAATGGCAGGGACACAACTTTGACTAAACTAATTCAGGATCTATAAAACAAAATATTAGCAGGGAAATGTTTACAATATTTGGCATCAATAACCATACACAGAGAGGCAAGAAATGAGCTGTAGAGACTGAGTCAGGATTCAAATCATCTCTGTTCCACACTGAGGGCTGCAGCAAATCATTCCTTCTCAGCGTGTCAAAAATCTTCCCAAATGGACAATCAGGGTGAGGCTGACTGCATCAAGGGCTACTGTGGGAGGTGCAAAAGTTGACACACGATACTGACGTCACTGGTGGGTCAAGGATGTTTACAAGGAGAGTCAGAACACAAAGAGCCAATGGGTTCAGTTTTTATCCTTTTGAGAAGGGAATAGTACACTATTTAGTAGTCAGTCCGAAAGTTCCAGTGTGAACTATCTACAAGCAGAATAACCTCAGGCAAATTACTTAGCCTTTCTGTGCTTTGTCTAATCCAATGAGGTTGACTGTTGTGGGATATTTGTACACTTGTGTGAAGATGTATCGCTGTGATTGGAGAAAGAAAAAGTTGAATGGCCAATAGCTAGGCAGGAGGTACAGGTGGGACTTCCAGGCAGAGAGAAAACTTTAGGAAGAAGAAAAGCAGAGCTGACAACTAGACTCAGAGGAAGCAGGATGTGCAGAACAGAGATAAGGTAATGCCACGCGGCAAGATGTAGATTAATATAAAAGGGTTAATTTAAGTTACAAGAGCTAGTAGGACATACCTAAGCTAAGGCGAGGCTTTTATAATCATTAAGTCTCCATGTTGTTATTTGTGGGCTGGCAGTGCACAGTACATGAGACTACGTCATAGAACTATAAGGTAAAATTAAATACGTTATAGCCCTTGCATCAATGCAGAGAAGGAGTAAGCTATTGCAAAGGTTAGCATCAGGGTTAATTTTATATCAATTTTGCTAGGCTGGAGTGCCCGGATATTTTGTAAGACATCATCTAGAGATCACCTATCCATTTTATGTAATGAAGTGCTTCCCAACTCCAGAATAGCTAAGTCAATTTAAATATTATAGAACAGGGAAGCAAACACACATCTAGCTGTCAAATTTTAAGATGTGATGGAGGTGGGTCTTGTATCTTATCTGTTGCTTTCATTGGTTAATAATAAAGAAACTGCCTCGGCCCTCATAGGACAGAAAATTAGGTAGGCGGAGTAGACAGAAGAGAATGCTGGGAAAAAGAATCTTAGTAGAGGAGTCGCCATGGTTCTCCCACTCCAGACAGACGCAGGTTAAGATCCTCCCTG